AACTTAAATCAGTTTAGTATAAGAGCAGTTCAAATAAAATAGAAAAAAGAAAAATCTGGCCTGCTACCAGTTAAAAAAATCCTTTTAAAAATATTTTTACTTATAAAACACCTTCTTTGTATACTTTGTTTTCTAAATTTTCAGGTCTTTGTTCCATTTCCTTTTGGCTGAAGTGTCTCTTTGGATAATATACTCAGAAAGCATATATTGCATGGCCAAGAAATGTTTTACACTTAATATGAATGATATCTTAGCCAGGAACCAGAATATTGGCTTGTTGTCCTTTTTTCTCTGTATTGTGTAGATGTTCTACTTTCCAACTGTTAGAAGTAAGGCCAGTCTGCATCTTTTTTCTTTAGATTTAATAAATAAAACTGTTCTTCCTATCTTGCAGCTTTACTGTATCCTTAGAATTCAGACAATTCAACCACGTATGACTAAGTTTGTGTCTCTATTTTTTTAACTTGGTAAACCATTTCAATCTGAAAACTCAGCTCAGAGAAGTTCATTTTTGATTATTTCTTTAATTATTACATTTTCATTTACTATCTTTCCTCTCTCTGGAAAAGCAACATTCCAGAAAAAAGACTATCATTCACACTTTTTGTCTCTGATCTTTCCCTTGTGTCTCTTACCTTTCAGTTTTTTTCTTTCTTCTTTGTTTTTAAATTCTTCTTCCTTACCCCTTATTTGGGTTTTGTGCACCATCTGTTCTACTTTTTATTAATTTTTTTTGCATTTTTATAAAGCATGGCTTTTTTTTTAAGAGAAAAGGTCTCGCTTTGCCACCCAAGCTGGGTATAGTGGTGCCATCATAGCTCACTGCAGCCTTGAACTCCTGGGCTCAAGGGATGCTCCTGCCTCAGCCTCCTAAGATGCTGGGATTACAGCTGTGAGCCACTGTACCCAGTCATGACCGCTGTTCTTCAAAATTCGTGTTTTCCAAACATTTCTTTGCAATATTTTCTTTTATCCCTTTAAGAATTTTCACTAGGCTTTTCTCTTGTTGCAGTTGTTTTAATCTTCTGTTTCTTCCATTACATCTGCCTCTGCAGGAGCCACCTGTTTGCTGTTGATTGGGCTTGGTCACCCTCCTTCAAGGTATGTTCTTAAATACTTTGTGCTCTTTCAGGTTGAGCTTTTGGGATTGATAGGCAGTGAGAGGTAAGTGAATACCTTCAGCTCTCAGACTGCTCTAGGAATGAATGTGAGAGATCAGGCCTCTCCCCTCAGCTAAGAAGCATTTCAGAATAAACAGTACTAACAACGTACGATGTTAGCAGGCTCTCTCAGGGATAAGCCAGGCCAGCTCTTTCTTCTCCACATGCTGAGGGGATTTTCTCTTGCATCACCCCTGGAGAACACTGACAGGGTCCTCATCAGCTGCTAGTATTTTCACAATAACATTCAGGTGGTGCCCTCTGCAGACCCTGGGTCTGCAGTCTACTTAAGAACTCAAGGCTTCATTCATGTATGGGCTCCACTCCAACTCCAGCAGCAAGCCATACTTATCTCATTGCATCATCCCAGCAGGAAGCACAGAGGTAGGCAGGGCCATGAGCCAAGATCACCATCTTCTCTGAACCCTACTCACTGTAATCTACATGTAACTATCCACCATCACTTGCAATTAGTTCATATATGAGAGAATGCTTATCTCATCTGCTCATGAATGAGGGAGGCTGTAACTCTCTTGGGGAGGTACCCAAAGAGAAGAAACCAGTTTCCTTTATTTATAGTAAACAAGAGGCCTGGGTAATTTTAAAGTGTACTAGAAGTCTTTCAGGGATTTCCCGTAGCATGCAGGTGTGATACGTAGCAATTAAAAGTGATACTGCTCTGAGGATAGAAGAGAAAGCACACATACCTCCCCAGGAAGACTCTGCTTTCTTTTGGGGCCTACAAGTTGAGCTGACAGTAAATAAAAGAAGGAATCCTACTTTTTCCTTTTTGTAACTAATGGCTTGTGTTAACAAAGCAGTGGATAGAGGTGTTGGTGAGCGGTAAGTAAGAGATGATGCAGATGTTCAAAAGAGCCAGAAAAAGCTAAAACTTTGGTGTAACTTTAACACGTACCTCATGTCACATGGAACACAAATCAGTTTTGCTATGGAATAATTTCTTATTGATAAATACTAAAATGTGTCATAGGTTTCCTAACATTTTTGGGGAACACCAACTTGAGTGTTTCGTGTCATCTCAGATAAAAAAAAAAGTGATACAGCTAAAGAAAAGATGTCCCCTGACCCTTGATACTGGAGAACATCAGAAATGGGAACTGCCTCTATTTTAGAAAAGAAATAGGGCATTCTTTTCGTCCCTTAAATAGGTCATGATCCCTGCTAGGGGACTTCCACACTGGTCCTCCCTGCTTGAACCACTCCTTGACCAACTGAAACCCCCACCTGTTCAATCACTCTTACTCTTCCTTCAGGGTTTGGCTGAAAGATCACTTCTTTTTTTAAAATATTTTTCTAAAGAGACAGGGTCCCGCTATGTTGTCCATGCTGTCCTTGAACACCTGGGCTAAAGCGGTCCTCCTGCCTCAGCTTCCTGAGTAGCCTAGGACTATAGGCACATGCCACCATGCCCAGCTGAAACATCAGAGATGTTTTCCTGTCTGAGATGAAACTGGCCTTCAGAAGGGGCTTATTTTTATATCAGGAATCACATCACCTTTGGAGGTCAGGGTCATTTAGCCCCATCTCCCAGAGGAGAGTTTCACCATTTCAGAATCACGATGAATGACCCTCAACCCAGCTAAGCAGCATGGAAATGATTCCCATTGATAATGTGCACGTGATGTCATGTGAAACTCAGGAATGATTTTTTTTAAACTGACGAATGTGAAATTAACTGTTCTGCTTTTTCCTTGAATCTTCCGGGCAGGAGTAAAATTAATAAAAGGTATAACTAAAGGAGAAGAATTATGTAACCTATATATTTTATTTCTGATAGAGTTATCTAAAGATACATATCCAGAATATTAGAACACATTTAAGAAGGAAGACACTTTTAAATGATAAAGAGCCTTGAAATTAACATTTTTTGTTACTAAGTCATCTTATGCTTATAATACAGGTGTAGGTTCAAAGAGAAAGAGAAAGAGAAAGAAAGGAAGAAACTGATTGGCATTTTCCTCCTGGAGTGTGTTTTCTGCCAAAAGAACTACATTATCTTTAAACAAATCAGCTCAGTTCAAATCAGCAAAGTAGAAAGTCACTGCCTGCCCCATGATTTAATCATCAGAGAGAACCACTACTAATACACTGGTATATAACATTTCACACTTTATGCATGAAATATGGTTATATAATATATAGGCTATTCATTATAGCCAAAAGTAGAAACCAGCCCAAATGTGCATCAATGGACATTTGATAAATTATGGTATATCCATATAATGGAATATCATTCAGCAAGAAAAAGAAATGAGGTGCTGATACATGCTACAACATGTGTAAACCTTGAAAACACGCTGAATGAAAGAAGCCGCATTCATCAGTTAAAAAAAATCATTTCTGAGCTTCATGTGGTCTTCTCAGAAGACCACATACCATGATTCCATTAAAAAAAAAAAGTGCAAATAGGAAAATCCATAGAGACACAACGGTAGCTTAGGGCTAAGGGTAGGAGAAAGAGTAGGAAGAAAGGGGGAGTCACTGCTCATGGGTATGGGGTTTCTTTTAGAGAAAACAAAAATGTCCTAAAATTAGATTGTGGTGATTGATGGTTGCGCTACTCCGTGAAAATACTGAAAACATTGAATTGTACACTTTGAATTATATGGTATTTGAATTATACCTCTATAAAGCAGTTATAGAAAAGGCCAAAAATATTTATACAGGCTATTCTGTAACTGCTTCATCTTCTCCTTGATGTAATAATATCATAGATAATGTCCCATCTCAATAAGATATGGAGCTACACTGCTATTTTAAAGTAACTGTAAAATGTTCCACTGTCATGAACTTAATCCTTTATTATTAAACAGAACTTATTTCCTATTACTGTATTAAACACTCGTGTAATATACATGTCTTTGCACACGTGTATGATGATTTTCATAGGAAACAAAGAATAAAACTGAGGACAAAGAGTCTGCACACTATAAAATGATACATAGTATTCACGCTCCAGAAAGGCCATACCAATTAACGCTCATCCCAATGATGAAGAAGAATACTTTTTTCTTTACATTTCCACAGGCATTGATGACCATCCAATTTATTAATCTCTGACAACAGAGTCACAATAGACAAAGATGGGTAATATCATTTTTTAAATGTGTATTTGATTACTGAATGTGAACAGCATTTCATAATAGTCATTTGATTATGAAATACCTGCACCTCTATCCTTTGACCATTTTTTGTCATTTTATTAATTTTTCTGACAATATGCTACAAATTTTTTTTTTGAGACAGAGTCTCACTGTGTTGCCCCGGCTAGAGTGCCGTGGCATCATCCTAGCTCACAGCAACCTCAAACTCCTGGGCTCAAGCAATCCTTCTGCCTCAGCCTCCCGAGTAGCTGGGACTACAGGCATGCGCCACCATGCCCGGCTAATTTTTTTTTCTATATATTTTTAGCTGTCCAATTAATTTCTTTCTATTTTTGGTAGAGATGGGGTCTCGCTCTTGCTCAGGCTGGTTTCGAACCCCTGAGCTCAAACAATCCGCCCGCCTTGGCCTCCCAGTGCTACAAATTTTTTTTATCAATTTGTCTTTTAATGTTGCTTATGGCACAGTTCTCCCTACACATTCTGACATTTCATATACTTAAACCTATTATTCTTATTCTTTATGGCTTCTGGCCTTAATACTTAGCCCTTTACCATCCCAATATCATAAAAATATCCTGTATTTTCTTCTAGTACATGTCATTTTATATTAACATTTTATTGCAACAATTCATTCATTCCCTGTTGATCTGCAATCCTGCGGTATTCCTGAATTCCTTAAGTTTGGCCTGTGAAATCTCTTTAAAAGATGACTTACCTAATTCTTGAGCCCATTTTATGGCAGTACCAGTGTCCCCTGCATTGCCTTCAGCTAAGCATACAACTTCTTGCCCAATCTTCCACCCAATTAATGGATAAAAGCCTTACAAAGCAAACAAAAAAATAAGTCATATGATAAATATATAATTCATTACAAAGACTTCTACAATGAACTGATTTGATTATTTAAAAAAACTGCAAAGTGCCTCTGAAGTCATACTGCCTGAGTTCAAATCCCAGCCTTCTAGCATTCATTAGCTATGGTCTTCCAAGTTTCTAACCTCTTAGCCTCAGTTTCCTCAACTGTAAAATGGTCTACCTCACAGAGTAGCTACTATAAGAATAAACTAAGTCTGGGTACAGTGGCTCATGCCAGCATTTTGGGAGGCTGAGGTGGGAGGATCGCTTAAGGCCAAGAGTTTGACACCATCCTGGGCAATATAGCAAGATCCCATCTCTACAAAAGGTTTTTAAAAATTTAATTAGTCATGCATGGTGGCGCATGCCTGTAGTCCTAGCTACTTGGGAGGCTGAGGTGGGAGGATAGCTGAGCCCAGGAGTTTGAGGCTGCAGTGAGCTATGACTGTGCCACTACACTCCAGCCTGGAAGACAGAGCAAGACCTTGTCTCAAAAAAAAAAAAAAAAAGAATAACCTTAGTTAATAACTTAATACATAAAAAGAACATCACACAGTGCCTTATGTAGAATATGAACACCGAATATTACTTTTTACTAGCTATAGGCATATCTATGTTTCTAGAAACACAGCAGTATTTTAATTGAGAAATAAAAGGTTACTACGAGATTGGTTCACTAGAGAACTAACCATGCTATTGTGTTTACCTGTGGTTTCCAAACAAAGTTCTTAAATAGAGATAATCTACAATATAATAATCAACATCTTCTAGCTTCCATGTTCCCAGTTAGGGGCAAAGGAAGAGCTTGACAGGGGATGGAAGGCAGGAAAAATATTTCTTAAACCACCTCTTAGTCACAATGTTAGGGCAAAAGAGTCCAAACTATAAGCCCCTGGCCCACCAGGGTATCATTCCACAATCTAGATTTCTTGGTTTGCACATGCCAGGTTTCCTCTATTGGGAAGAACAATGGAGGAAATGGAGGTTTTAACTCTAAACATGCATGGATCACTAGTTGAGGACTACCACCCAAAAAAATTCACAAAAGAATTTTCTAACACGTAGAAAAAAATTTAGAGCCCTAGTAAGAAGTTTTAAACAACTATAACATGTATTATAGATAAATATTTGGAAAGCTGACCAAAATACCCTAATCCTTCTGAATTTTTCTATAATATCTTTCTTGGTTTTTTTATGTTTTGTTTGTTTGTTTGTTTGTTTTTGAGACAGTTTTGCTCTGTCGCCCAGGCTAGAGTGCGGTGGTGTCAGCCTAGCTCACAG